AATTTTTGCCAACACCCACCTTTTCAGCGGCATCTCTGACAGCTTGTCTTTTGGGTTCATGAAGATCCTTATCTTGACGTTGATGACTTCTTTAAGGACCCCCAGGATGTGACTCCATTTCTGAGCTTGAGAGCTGAGTGGATCTAGGATAGCAACGATGTCGAAGCATGGCTTGGATTGGTCGCGAGGGGGGATATCTATCACACTATAATACAGGGGAACATAGAGCAGCAACATAAGACAGGTGCAGCACTCCAGAATTAAAGGGTAACAGAAATAGGAAACATTTAGTTCACGTGAAATAATTCAAAAAACATCATAAATACAGGTCAAATCTTCTGTGCCATGCTTCTTCTTTTGCAGACCTGAAACTGAAAAATAAGCAATTCGTATGACACAATCTTGACCTCAATGATCACCTGTGTTTGTCCCTCCAAAAGCTGACCTCTTTGCGACCCTCCTGCCTGGAGTTGGAGGCTAGAAGGGCATCCACCTTCAGGGTGAGGTCACTCAAGGAATCTCCAGTGCTAGCAAAATTGGAGGCGAGTTTCTCCATCTAAACAAACCAACCAACAGTCAACTTCAGAGTGGATTCCGTTACTTCCACTTTTTGAGTCAGTTTGGAAGACAAACAGAAATATCGGAGTTGATTGGAGAAATACATGGACAATTTGCAATTGATTATAGCTTTCACCTGACATCCTTAAACCCAAATTTCTAGTCTCACCTTCTTTTTGACACTGGCTGCCGATGTCTGCAAAATCAGTTTTTCAGCCAGAGAGAAGTCATCTTCCGTGAACTGTTCATCTTGGGACAGAGGACCAAAGACCTGACAAGGAGAATCCAGAAGTAGGTAATCCAGAGATTTGGTTCTGATGACCAATATCTGAAATAAGTCAAACAGCTGGGACTCTGTTGGTATGGGTTGGGTGGGGTCATGGTGGGGCAGGTTAAGCTGAGTTGGGATCACTTCTATGTCCTTACCCTTCCACTAGCGATCACGGCCCTCTGGCCAGGTAGAAGGTGAAGAACTTTATCGCTGAAGACTCTCTGAATCTTGAGAAACTCGGACTCCTTGAAGGCTTGCTTGAACGCACCCATATTCATGCCCTGAAGAAAAATACAATAAAATACTGTCAATCACATGACTGAAGGCTTCGTTTATAACTGAAACAGCGAGTGATATAACAAGGGTGCAATTCTAAGACCTACAATAAAAAGAACATGCTTTTATGTCTTGGTCTGAGGTCTTAATATCTTCCCCCAGACGACGTACTTACATGGACTTCATAATCCTCCACCTTGGTTTTTCCACCCTCGATGCTCTGGTAGTTCTCCTCCTTGAGAAGCTTGTTGATGAAGTTCTTGGCATGGTTACGGGTCTGGGTCTTCTGTACTGAGTGGATGGCCCTGGCTAACCACTGTCGATTGTCACTGGAATCGGCAGTGTTTGAGATCACACCAATACGGAGGGTGTTGGATGTTTTCTGTTATAGAGGAATTCTAAGTGTTAAGACAAAAGCTTCAAAGCAAATATTAAAGTTTGTAAAATCTATGATATGCCCCCTCCAGTGATAAAAACCAGGGACTACAGAAAATTTCATTGACCTATTAACAGGTAAAATTTTTTTAATTTCATAAATAAAATGGTTTGTGGTCTAGTCTAATATACAGTATGCAACTTAACACAATGAAAACTTCAACAACTGCCTATTGTTGTGGGAAATTGACTGAAAATTCCTCTTTCCTTCTCACCATGTACTTGTTAGCATTGCTAACCAGCATTCGACCCTCTGTTGTTTCCAAGTCACACACTATCCACATGCTCACCGGTCGTAGGCTCAAATCATCTGTGAAGATGAAAACCAACAAAACCTCACAAAATCTACAAAAGGAAAACCTACAAAGTCTGACAGCAAGTGAGCACTGTTCAGTGAAACTGACGTCTTACGCTTCAAGTCTGTAGAATAGAATGTTCATCTTCTTTACCTTTCTTGGTGAGATACTTCATGGAGTTGGTGACAGCTGCCGTCTGACCACTGGTGCTCAAGCCTTGGAAGACGGACAGACTCAGATTGGGCAAGTCGCCTAATAAGCACAAAAAAAAAAACAAAGAACTTTCTTTTTTCTAAGAAAGACGTGCACAGTGCATCAGATACACCTTGAAAATGAACTCAATGAAAAGGTTCATTGAAAGCTTTAGTCAGGCACTGAACAACAAGAATACCTGGTTGTGCCGTCAGGTCCAATAATCTAGTGTCATCGGCGAGGATTCTAGGATTAAGACGCGGCATTACATTGGGTTGTGCCATCAGATAGTCCATTAGGTTTGTGCGGTCGTTAATCTTTCCCTGCAATAAATCAATTACGCAAAGAATCTCAGAGGGATAATCCACCATCTGCCGGTCAAAGAGATATCAAGAGAAAACTGGCCAACTTCATGTTGGAAAATCAAATAAACGACGTTCATTTGAAACTCAGGGTACATCAACACATCTTGTTTGTAAAGCAACATCATTGGGATTTCAAACTTACTCTGTAAACTGCCCTCTGGAGGTCAGGAGTAGCCATGAGAATAGCCGTCACCACACTTTCTTCAAACTCATCAGGCTGAAGCTGTGCTCCAAATTAAAAAAGTCACAAGTCCATAACTACCAGGCGCCAGTTCTATCTGCTATCAAAATCTGGCTGAAAATTCTCCAGTCCTATTTCAAGTCAAGCAAGCATCCTGTGGGCATCTTAGTTTAAGCTCACCTAACCTCTGTTTATCTCACCTGCTTGGAAGTAAATGGCACTCCATTCATCATGACTTGTGGCAAAGAACCCAATCCTGTCCTCTCAAAGTAGGCTTTGCCATCCTGGTCAAATTAAACGTAAAGTGACAAATGATGAACCAAGTATATCTGAGTACCTTAAGAAGAATTTAAACTGCAACTTATTGAAATGATGAAGTAATCGATGAAACTTTAAACAGACATTTTTGAAGTCCAAGACGTATAATCAGTGTCTTCTTCCCTAAATTCCTTCGTTCTTGAAATAAAATTACTAAGGCATGAGTTTGGTGCCCCTGTATAACTGTATCTCTTTGTATTAGTCCAAATACCCTTCCAAGCCAATCCATTAGACAAAGGTGAGTTGAGGACACTGAACACACCTGTCTTCGATCATCATATTCGGTGCCAGGCCCCAAGATTTCGTCCAGATCTTCACCAGGGAACATCTTTTTGAAAGTTTGAACAACGTTCTCTGGAGTCACAACCTCGTCCTCGGCTGCTGTCAGAATCTGGAGGAAAGACAGAACATAAATGTTCCACAAAACGTTGACATAGGAGTCAGGTGGGTACTTTACACACCTCCCATATCTGAGGGCCTGGTTCGAATCTAACCCGGGCCAACAACTGGATTTGGCTTGCAGTCCTTACCTGATTTTTATAAGCTTTCTGCGGAATATCTTCCCAGTCATAACCTGCTGCTACTATAAGGGAATATTTCTTCATCATCTCCATTTCTCTCTGTCTCTCCAATAATTTCTCCTGGCTATCAAGCTGCCGTGACTTATGACCACTTTTGGGCAAAATTCTGATTTGTGAAAAGCCTGTTCATCTGAAGGTACCTTAATGAGCAGATCCAAAGCCTGGGGTGATCCTCCATCAATCATGGCAAAGTTGAATGCCCTCATCATGGCCACGCCTGCATCCTCACGCCAATTGACTTCATCCTCCTTGCTAACGACAAACACCACACCCACAGTGACAGGAATCTCGTTCAAAACAAACATCTCAGCTTGCTGCAAGAACTGGAGCGATTCAGGCTGGGTGGGGTCTAACATAAAGATCTGAGGAGAGAAAAGAACATTTCCACAGTGATTGCTAGTGAACATCGCACCTCTGATTTTCTGAACAGCAAGAGAATCATGAAAATCGTCCGAATCAAAGAGTGAACTAACCTATCACCGACACCTGTTTACAGCAAGGAATCAAAACAGAATTCTTCCTCTGTGAATTATTACAGATATTGAAACAAGTTCCTGGTTAGCACAACGTGTCTTGTTTCTTCTTACCATGGAGCAATGGGCTGTCAAAGCAACAGGTTTTCAAGGAACTCACCAGATGAAAGACATTTTTCTTGATCTGTCGCAGCATTCCTGGGAACATCGGCCGCAAGAATTCCTGAACACCGCTAGGCCAATGAGCATAACGTTCATCTTTCTCAAGATCATTCAAATACTGGAAAGGAGAAAGAAAGCATTAATTTATCAAAGGTTAAAGTTCAAAGGTTAACTGGCATATTTACTACATTCTCTAAATTTCAAAGTGACTTCCGTATTAATAACTACGTACCAAAACACTATTATCTCTGATGTCCACTGCATAGGTACCATCATGGGAAGCCACCTGTACCCTCATTAGCTGACCAGACGCCTCACCGCTCACACCCAGAGAGTAGAGACCATCAAGAATCTGGCTCTCTGACCTCAACAACTCCAGCAACCTAGGTGCAATCAGGAATGAGCACTCTTTGCAGGTCTCAATAAATCAACAGTCCTCAACACTTACACTTACCAGTGTGATGTGGCCTGCAAACTTTTGTGCTAAGCAAAGAAAGACTGGGGTGCCAGTTGCAAAGCTATACCTCTTTCATGGAATTTGGTTGGTAATCAATCTTGCTAAGCATATAACTTCTGCTCTTGAAATGTGGTCCCTATTGACTCCCCTAAAGTCCGACACAGTAGGACACAGCGGGCCCATCCTTTCCCCTGTACACATAATTCATACAGTAATGCCTCAGCATAAAGACTGGATTTCAAGATGTACTTTGCATCAGGGAGATGTCAATTTAAGTGCAGCTTTTGCCGTTAAAGTGAAGTGCAAACCCATACTTAAACCAGAGTGGACTGTATGCTTATTGTCAATCTTCTCAGTATTCCCCTGCAGTGATCCTAACAATTTTTATTGTAAGTTGGGAAACTACCCCTTCTAAACTTGCAAAGCACCGGCGACACATTAATGGAGATCAAAGAATTCAATGTTCCCCCGGGCAAACTTTACTGTTCAATCCATGGTTGTTCTTACTTCAAAAGAAATAAAATGATGAGGTTTGTGTCTTACAGGAATGGCTCTGCAACATCAGTATCAATGACCAGACCATTCAGCATCATGATGGTATCTCCTTCACCTACGCCATACGTCGCCTCAAATATCTGACAATAATCACAACAAACATGGAAGTTTTATAAATAAATTGGATTTTGCAGGTAATCTTGATTCACTTCAGAAAATTACTAATTTCCAAGGAACAAGAGAGGCGGTATTAACATTCAAGTTGCAAAGAGAATGTTTGCTTTCATCTCGTTCTCACCTTCTGGTTCTCTGTGATCTCCTTCCTGACCTCATCTTTGACCTGCGTCTTGACCAATGAGCTGGCTAGCAGAGGGAAGTTCTGACTGATCTCCCTCAAGACTCTCAGAGCATCTTTGGTGGGAGAGGACAACACCCGCTGGGCAGCTTGGAATGCAATGGCTAAAGAATGGACGCAGAGCACTCAGAAACTTGAAGATTTCGCTTGTTAGAAATGTTTGAACATCAAACATGAGAATTGATGTAAGAATTGAAATGACCACAATGAAAATATTTCCAGCGGTGAACGATAACTTACTTTGCAGTTGCCACACTTTAAGAGGAACCATTTTTCTGTTGCTCTCAAGAAGCGAGGCGCGGAAACTGTTGAGATTATCCACCAAGTCGGGATGAAGTTCCCTGGAAACAAACAGAGAAAATAGTTCATGAATGTCACAATGATGGATACGTCCTTCATACCTTTAGCTTGGCTAGGATTCAGATTACATCCAAATCAACTGGCTATGGCTAGGAGTAAGACACACACCAATGAGAAATATTTGTAGCCGCTAGCCATGGACTTCCATAGGCATGTGCACTACTGTCAGCCAAAGCCATTAATTTCAAACGCAGCTTCAGACTCAAAATCACCAAGGACTCCATATTTCCAGTACTCTCTGAGGTAACAAACCAA